AGGACGTAAACATAGTTGGTCGATAAGACGATCGGCAACTGAACTGATGGTCGACTCGGGATAGCCGCGGATTCGGGCGTATAGTTGCAGTGTTTCGAAACCAGTGAGATGAGTGTGTAGGGGATTGAATTGTGGGCAGTAGGCGATGACTTCGTGTAAGTTTGGATTACTAAATACATCAATGCCGTCAATTGAGATTGTGCCCGTTGATGGCCGGATATTGGTAGTCAACATGTTGAAGGTTGTGGACTTTCCAGCTCCATTGACACCGAGGAGACCGAAGCATTCGCCAAGTCGAACACCAAATGTCAGATCGTTGACTGCGGGGACTTTCCTTTTAGAAAATTGCTTGCTCAAGTTAACCACTCGCACAACGTCTCGCGTGCTGTTGTTCGGGTCCTACAACACAAAATGCATTCAACGACTCAACGTGAGCAACCATTTCCAAAACCCCCTAATCTCACGAACACGCAAATAATAGATGTATTGGCAAACCTATTAATTCCTAGTCATTTACGTTGCATAATAATGTAAAATTGACTTACGTATACAAGCTAAAATTTTACAGGCGTTAACATCTAGATTTTTTATTTGGGCATGCCTACAAGTTTTGGAAATGTTGTAAGAAATTCCTTGGGCTTCACACTAGAGGACTGGCCACTAGTTCGGGAATGTTTCGCCTATTAACACCATGAATATAATTTTGCCTCGGTCATGTGTAAACTTCCCTTGTCACCTCACAAACATCTTGAATTCTAAGATGCGGAACGCGTGCTTTGGGTTTAAGTCATTAAACGTACAATTTCCTGAATGGCTTCTTGTACCATCACGGTTGTTAGGCGTGGCAATATATGGTGGCTGTGATTAACAGCTCGAAGAGCACCGTAACCTACCTGGCAACCAAGGAGGTTTTTGTCAAAATCGAGCGTTACTGCACTCCCATTGTTTCTTCAGCCCAAAAAAACACAGTTCAAACCCTGACGTGCCAAATGCATTCTAAATTCACGTCTTATGTAAAAAATGGTGCCTAATGTAAAGTGCCACCTCCACACAGATAAACCTCCCCCTTGATCGGTGGTGCCTACAACTACTGACATGAGGCGGGTGATTCAACGACTTCTGTCCAGTGTCAAGTTGGAGATCTAATGCTGCAACACCAAGACTGTCTAC